TTTGTCGCGTGACATACACAACACGTGACAACATATTACTTCAGCTTTTCTGAAAAATATAATTTTTTCCCATATTCAATTTTCCTTTAGTCCCATTTGTCTGTGTGGTCCCGTAAATTGCTACTGGCCTTCTCCAGCACAGTCATTGTTGGTTTCTAGCCCCGCGGGTCTGGTCGGTCGGATAAATTTCTGCTCGCCAGCACAGTATTTCCTTATTCCGAGCCCCGCGGGACTCATGGTTATAATTTATTTTCTCACGAATCTGTCAGATTTGTCTGGTGGGCGTTAGGAGAATACGCATGATCTTTTGTTAGAGCTGTGTCCACAGGAATTCTGTCGCTAGGCAACCGTCTGTGGTTTAATGCACAAAACGATCTATGTGGTATTTAGAAACCTCACTGTCACACGACTTTAAGACTAATCAATAGACAGGGTTGCAAATTCAGCCCATAAAAGTTCCACTCGTGTGTTTTTCTCCAGTTTATTGACCTTACTTATAGCCTGTTTATAAAACTGATTAACGGTCTATGATATAGACGTACATAAAAAGGTACATTTACGGCGTATTTAAAATGTACCTTGATATGGGTCAGTATCGCTGAAAATCGCAATTGCCTGACAATTTTCAGTTGTGTCAATATCAAATTAAAAAATATTTGGACTGCATTTTTACTGAGTTTAGTGGTTACTTTGAACCATCTTTTAAATAAGATATATTTATTTTGGAGTCGGGATGTACTGATCGCTGTAGTGACGGGCTACAAGCCGAACGGCCGGGGGTTCGGTTACCGGCTGGGGCAAGAAATTATTTTCTCTACTCTCCAGTTTTGAGACCGATTCTGGGGCCTCCAGTCTCCTATACAATGGGTACCAGGGACTCTGTCTCGGGTGTAAAGCTGAAGGGGGGAGTGAAACTGACCACTCACCTCCATTTAATGCCGAGGTCAAGAATGACGGAGCTACAATTCCACTCCCACGTACGTCTTTATGGACTGATGCTTTATTAATTAAGCACATGGACAAATTTACTTTTATCTTCTGCATTTATTTTTAACAAAACCGCCTCTGTGGTCTGGTGGTCAGAGTTCCTGGCTACAGATCCAGAGGTTACGGGTTCGATTCCCGGCGCTGCCAGATATTCTGAGAGGTAGTGGGTCTCGAACAGGGTCCACTCAGCCTCATGAGGATAATTGAGGAGCTATTTCAAGGAAATAGCGGCTACGGTTTAGAAAACCGAAATTAACGGCATTGGGGATTCGTTGCACTGACCACACGACACCCTCTATCCGCTAAAGTTGGTACTAACTTCGCCAACAAGCGGCGGTCGCTCGGTCAGTATAGTTCGCTTGCGGACTGCACGCCACGGAGTTTATTTTTGTATTTATTTTTAGCACAGTTTGCGGAATGTGCGTCAGCTTGAATACACATCTCTTAAGCCGTTCAGTTTGTCTGAAGTCATGTCTAAGGCGTTAGATAAACTCGCAGCGGTTAATGTAACATGAAAAGTCACGTAAATCATGCGCCAAGAAGCTGTACATTCTTATTTTAATCGCTCGTGACTTAACACTGAGTAGTTAACGGAACTTCTTAGCGCTCACTGTATAGTACGGAATATGCCCAGGTACAGATCAACATTTTCTTGACATCGGCTCTAGTTGGAGGTGAGTAGTCAGCTTCACGTGCGGGCCGCTTTACCTCCGGAGAAAGATCCCCGGTACCCATTGGATAGGAGGCTGGGTGAGCCCCAGAGCCGGTCTGAACGATGTGGAGAAGAGAAAATTATTAACACTACCAGGACTCGAACTCCGACCCCTCGGTCATCCAGCCCGTAGACAGTCGCTATACAGACTGCGCCATCCCCAATCACCCTTATACAATGTAAGGTAAAGCTATCCCTGTAACAGGCCATAAGGTTGTGGGACGTCGAGGCTCCCATAATTTCTAGAGAATCGGCTCATAGATGGCGGTAAGGTTTTCAGGCTTACGCACCGGCCGCCCTTTACCCCCCAGGAAGATTTCTGGTACTCATTTCTGTTAGAGACTGAGTCGACCCCGGGGCCAAAGTGCGGCTGGAAGGATTAGGTCAATTGAAGAAAAAGTCCACTTCATCTGGACTCGAACCCGCGACCTTCCGGCTTGTAGCATAGTGCCTCAACCAACCACGCTACCACGTGCCCCTTTTTATACAGTGTGCATAAGGTAAGGTAAAAGCAAAGTTGTCTCTCTAATTAAGCACTATACCATGAAGATTTTTGGGAGACTGAATGTACTATAACTTCACCATTCTTGACCTCGGTACTAGTTGGAGGTGAGTGCTCAGCTTCACGCCCCGGCAGCTTTACTACCTGGGAAACAGCCCCCAGTACCCATTCGATATGAGGTTGGGTGGGCCCCAGAGCTGATCTGGACACTGTGGAGGAAAGAAAAATCTTGCTTCTGCCGAGAATTGAAACCCCGCCGTCCGGCCCATAGCCCATCGCTATACCGACTGAGCTATCCCGGTTCTTTGTACCGTCTGTGTACTTGATTAAACGTGGACAAAGATCCGAAGTCACAAAATTACCAAGTCTGATTTTGCTCTTGTATCTTCGTCTACTCTCTAATTAATCTTTCGCCACGAGGTTTTCCAATCAAAATCCTGAATGTAGGCCCATTATGTGTTTAGGAGACGGTTTCGATTCACGGCAGGAATAAGAGATTGCTTTCTTCTTGCTTATCCGGGGTATGTATACTGATTCTCATGCTGACGAATAACGCTTGAACGAAGTTTGATATTGTTATTGAAGAACTGAAACGTTATGTAGTGCTTCCGGGTATGTCCAGGAACGCCTGTAAACACGGCGATTACGCAACAGGGAAGCGAGGCGCGTTTTCCGCTGTCCGACTGAGGGTTTATAAGAGAACTGGAATGCCTAAGCAGTTAGTTGAAATATAGCAGTCGCGGAAAGAAGACCCGAACGCGTGGTGAGAAGATTTTATGTGATAACTGAGAAGTCCGCCAGTGAAGTTCATTGTGTGCCTTCAAGACATTGTGTGTGCTGTAGTACAGTTATATTGGGAGTGTGTAATTCAGAGAGACTTGGATAGCTCCCGCGTTATAAATACGTGAAGACTACTGAAGAGATTATTGTGTAGGGTTGTAAAGTGTGTAAACCCGCAACAGTGTTATAAGTTTTTGTAGTTACGCCTTGTAAGTTGTTAAATAAACCAATTAACAATCTGAACTGGGTCTTCAGTAGCAAAACACGTTACAATATTCACTATTATTCAATCATTCAACGCTGTGTAGTCTCTGTTATTAATAATGTCGTTAAGTCAACAAATAAATGAACTGCTATTATTTCCGTAAACGGCATGAACCGATTTTTCTTTTCAGAGGAGACGAAATGTTATCTTGAAGAAGGAACTGGGCTTTTAAACGTTATTTATATGAATTGTTAGACTTGAAATGCTTAAACGCATCTTAACTCATGTCACGTAACATAGTTCATATGTGTGTGCAGGTGAAGTTATGTATGGACTTGTTACACAGGTGGTGACCCTCTCTGTCTACACTTACTTCATCGCGGCGCTGATGGGACGCCAGTTCATCCTGTCTGACACTGACATGTTCTTCCCCTTCTTCACTGTTCTTCAGGTAAGTGCTACAAGCCCCAGAACCACAATCGATATTTCCTGTTGTTCCCTCGGGAGCATAGTGCATGTCTTCTAGACAGTCAGTAGGACTCCTTAGAGGGGTGCTCAGCTAGTCGCAAGGCCGTTACCTACACAGGACAACACAAACACACAACGAAACTCCGTGGCTTTAGTCCTCAAGCGAACTATACCGACCGAGCGACCGCCGCTTGTCGGCGAAGTTAGTGGCAACTTTAGCGGATAGAGGGTGTCGCGTGGTCAGCGCAACGAATCCCCACGGCCGTTAATTGCGGTTTTCTAGACCGGAGCGGCTACTTTTCCATTCAAGTAGCTCCTCAATTATCCTAACGAGGCTGAGTGGACCCCGTTCGAGACCCACTATTTCTCAGAAAAACTTGTAGCGCCGGGAATCGATCCAGGGACCTCTGGATCCGTAGCCAGGAACTCTGACCACTAGACCACAGAGGCGGTATAAATGCAAATATTCATGCCTCGAATGGGATTTGACCACTAGACCACAGAGGCGGTATAAATGCAAATATTCATGCCTCGAATGGGATTTGAACCAACGACTACAGTGTTTGAGCGGCGAAGATAGTTCATGCCTTAGACCGCGCGGCCACTGTGATCGGCCGTCTCACTCCATAGTACGTCTAAATCATCTTTGAGATTACGTCATAGTATCAGCAGGCAACCTTACGGAAGAAAAATTCTATTTTCAACGACATATCTGGCGCGGACGTTTTGCATCCTATATTATGTTGAAACTGGAAGCAAAGATCTAGTGGTTTTCTAATGATGACGTTTCGTCGAAATACACCTAATTCCTAAAAGTGATATACCGGCATATCGGCAGATGATAATTTTCCTGGTAAGTGTCGGTTTTGGGCAATTCTACACTTATGAAACATATAACTGCTGTATTTTCAACTGCTGAAAGAATCGATGCAAATATATTACGCAATTTTTTTTCCTACACGATTGACCTTGGTTGCAATACCTTGGCAATTAATAGATTGTTGCTTTGTATTTGTTGCTCAATACCAAACAACAATGACCAATAAAGCCGGTTTCAATAAAATCACCATTTCTCGTTTGGGCCTCTAATGCACTTACCGTTATTTTCACGATGATGCCAACACTCGCTTTTCTTTAGGAATACTCTCTTAATAAGTGGTTAAAATTTAATCAGTTTCATTTTATGCGTATTCGAGAAAATTGTCACTTTGTATTTTGGAGTCCATTTGAAAAGCCCCTTATTTTTGGAAGTGGATTGTTCATGTTCACCGATGACCGTCCTGCGATGAATAAACTTTTGAAAATCAAATGTGAAAGAAGTCCATCCAACAGTTCGGGAGCTGCCAAAGATCACATTCATACATATATATACATACATACAATACGTGGCTATTTACAGACAGCATACATTAGCCACTTTTTTATAATCAGGGGACTCAAAATATGTAAATTCCCGAAAATATCGAGACAGATCTCGTTTCACGCCCACAATATATTTGCCCCTTCCCCACTGCCACAGTGTGGTTGAGATGAAACGTTTCGGATTTTTGGAGTGGATTCCTAATGATGGGCTTTGACAGAGAAGTGCATCCATGCTTATGGTTCAAAAAGTCGTTTTATTTTTGTGGCTTTCTCATACCTGCGTCATTCATAATTCCTTGTTTTGTTTCAGTTCTGTTTCTACATCGGATGGCTGAAAGTAGCTGAAGTTCTTATCAATCCGTTCGGTGAAGATGATGATGACATCGAACTCAACTGGCTCATTGACCGGCATGTGAAGGTAAGACTGCGCCTCAAGGTTTCTGCGTCAACGCTCGATCTTTACACTTAAAAAAACAAACAAACAAAAGGTAAAGCTATCCCTGTAACAGGCCTTGGAGGCCCGTAGGGTTGTGAGACGTCGAGGCTCCCACATTATTTCGACAATCGGCTCACAGCTGGCGGCAATGTAGTCAGCCTTACACGCCGGCCGCCCTTTACCCCCAAGAAGATTCCTGGAACTCATGTCTGTTAGAGGCTGAGTCGACCCCAGGGCCATAGTGTGGCTGTAAGATTTAGGTAAATTGAAAGAGGTCCATCTCATCGGGACTCGAACCCGCAACATTCCGGCTTGTAGCATAGTGCCTCAACGAACTACGCTACCGCGCGCCCTCAATTAAAATTTAATGATAACTTAAGCATCTGAATATTGCAGAATTCTTCTTGAGATGATGATAGTTCCATAGCTGCTCAAGAAATTCGTGGTCCTTTCTGGAAGCCCTGATCGAGCTAGATTCCGACTAGTTTCAGGGAGCAACCAGGTTTGATTCTCACCCGGGACACCGATTATTCCGACTGACGTTCTTCGCAATTTTTCCCAGTACCTTAAATTGGGCCAAGACAACTTCCTTCCACATCCTTTGCAATTCATTTTGCACTGTGGTTGAGTCATTCGATGATATATAGTTTAAATCGGTGATATTTTGCTAAACAAACTGGAAATAAATTTTATGGCGGCCAGAGTTTGATTGCTGTGTTCGCAAGAGCCCGTTTTTGAACCCTCGCAAAATCTGTCCCACTAAGATCTATGTTAATGTTATCTTTCTCTCTGCGCCTAAATCTCCCAAATGCTTTCTTTACATTATTGTTTATTTATTTATGATCTGCATGAGTGATACATATGGGGAGGGACAGATTAGTCTACGGACTGGATGATCCAGGATCGATTCCCACCAGTGCAAATTTATTCTCTTTTCCACAGCATCTAGACCAACTGTGAGGCCCACCCAGACTCCTATCCAATGGGTACCGGGGGCTCTTCCCCGCAAGGAAAGCTGCCGGGGCGTGTATCTGATCACTCACCACCATCTAGCGCCCAGGTCAAGAATGGTCGAGCTATACCTCCACTCCCCCATATGTCCTCATGCCATAGTGCTTAATTTACCACAGGGACAACTTTACTTTCTTACCTTTGTGAACGCTACATGTTTCACTTAGGGCCACACAGTAGCGTAGTTGTTTGAGGCACTATGCTGCTAACCAGAATGTCGCGGGCTCGATTCCCGATGATGTCATTGGACTTTTCAGTTGGCCTAATCCTTCCAGCCGCACTATGACCCTGAGGTCGTCTCAGCCTCTAACAGAAAAGAGTACCAGGAATCTTCCCGGGCGGTAAACAGCGGCCGGCGCGTAAGGCCGACAACCTTACCACCATCTGTGAGCCGATTGTCTAGAAAATGTGGGAGCCTCGACGTCTCACAGCCCTATGGGCCTCCACGGCCTGTTACAGGGATACATTCACCTTCACCTTTACATGTTTCACCCAAAGCGTACCTCTGCATCTGATCAACCAAGTAATGTTTGAAAGAGATTCGTAAATAATAACTGCCATTATGTACATCTTCTGTAGTAAGAGTTCTTTAAACACAAGCTTCATTTGTTTATTGCATTCCACGCACGTAGAACAGTGGAACTCTTGCCTTCTGATCAATGGCACTTCATAACATTACTCTGAATGTGAGTCTGTGCTGTCTCTCTCTCTAGATCTCTTGCGAATCACTGTATTGAAAGGGTCAGACGCAGTATTTCTCCAAGGACTTATCGATTTGTGCTACGCCTTTGATCGCACATACAAGCACTGTTACTTGAGCACCCTCTGTAACGCTTCTTACCATATGAAAACTCAGAAGTGGTCCTGTACCCCTTGGAACATTCGTGGACACAGTACAGCCTGAACATGTCATCAGTTAATTTTTATTTTAATGGATCTCAGATAATAGACAGACGAGTGAGGTGTCAGACAGATTAGTGAGGCATCAATCTTTATTCATCTATGATTTAACAGGGCCCCGAGAAAAATATTTAGACCGAAGAGAGATGAAGTGACAGGAGGTTGGAGAAAACTGCATAATGAGGAGCTTCATAACTTGTACTCTTCTCAAAGTATGATTAAAACGATCAAGTCAAAGAGGATGGGATGGGCAAGGCAGAAGGAGTTACGATGGTCTGCTACTGTGAAGATACCTCATGTGTTAATAAATGGTGCGTGAGGTTTGTCGTCAACTGCTTTGAGGAGCGGCAGAGTGACAACATGAAACACATGTTTAAACTAAGATGTCACCCCGAAAACCTGCGTGGAATGTGAGGGCAAAAGTAATGTAAAAGGAAGGTACATTTGCCCTGTACTTAATTAATTAAGCCTCATGAAGACGTGTGGAGTGTGGAGGTATGGATCCATCATTCTTGCCCTTGGCACAACTTGGAGATGAGTGGTCAGCTTAACACCCCGGCCGCTTCACTACCAGGAAAAGAGCTCCCGGTACACATTAGATAGAAGGCTGGGTGGGCCTCAGAGCCGGTCTGGACGCTGGGGAGTAGAGAAAAATCTCTTGCCTTTGCCGGGAATCCAACCTCTACCGTCCAGCTCGTAGCCCGTCGCTATGTAAAGTTAAGATTATATTTCAGCATCCTATTGCACTAGTTAATAATTTAATTCACAGGGGCAGTCTTGGAGGTGTAACTTCCAGCCATGTCCTTAGACTGGTAGTGTGCTGCTTTGTTGTGTATTTTAGTTGTCTCTGCTACAACATGTTTCGACCTGATAAGGCCGTCATCAGGTGGATTGTATAAGTACGAAAATAAGGATTCAGAGTCCAGAAAATATTTGTAAATCATTTTTTGGAGGGATTCATTTGTAGCACTTTTACAAGCTTTTATTTACTTTTCAGCATAGTCACCAGGGGTCGCAATGCACTGAGTGAGCCTGGGAATGAGTTTTTTTATTCCAGTTTCGTAAAAATCTCCCGCCTGCTCTCTTAGACATGGAGAACAGTTCTTGACACTTCTGGACGTTGTTGACGAAGTTCATCGATGGTTACACGTCTGTCATCGCGAATGTTTTCATCACTTTCTTGGATGATTTCATCAGTGACAACGGATGGCCTTGTTTTTAGTTCATATTTTTGAAGTGTTGTTTAAAACTTGGTTGAAATTGGGTCTAGATTGTTGCCGAATTGTCTTAATATTACAGCTTTTTAAAACTGGTACTTCATGTTGCTGGCACATCGTAATTTTTTGGACTCTATCAATGCTTACGGAGCGCTATAAAGTCTTAGGACATTGAAATATTTTATATTTATACTCGGTATGACGTAGTTTTGTGTGATTTTAGTGTATGGTATGCTTAAACACCATGCCATGAACAATTATGCACATTTAACTTCGGCACTAGACTGAAATAGGCGGCTAGCTTCACGTTCCGGCCACTCCACATCCTTACTCATTGGATAAAGGACGAGGTGAGCCCCTGAGGCGGTCTCGACACTGAGAACAAGAGAAAAGTCCATTGACCTCTCCGAGACTCGAACCCTGATTCCTCGGTTATCAAGCGCTTCTCCTAGTCTGTATGCAGAACGAACCCTCCCGACTCAGAATAATGTAAGGATGTCGGATGTGTCTCATATATGTAGGGTTTGGTCAGTGTGTGTCCGAAGTCTAGTACCCTGGCAATTACAGAGCAGTCTGAAGGCTTTTGGGTGCTTCAGTTTCGATTCGCTTCAGGGCAGTTCTCTGGATGTTGTTCCCGCCCTTTCTCTAACTGAACCTTGTAGGAATGCGGTTCTAAAATAGATCAAGATTGCCTCGTTACCGGAGGCAAGCAATTCGCAAAATAACGTAGTCATTTTCTTCAACAATGCAGCAGATGAGAGGGCACTGCGAAATGAGATTACTTTGGGCTGATGTAGTAGCCGTCTAGTCAGATGTTTCTCCTTGCTTGTCTCACTCTTTGACCCTGAAGATGGAGGTAGTACATTCCTCTAAGATGTCGGTAAACTTCCACCCGATCACACGGTGTCAGCCCGGTAGACGGAGTACCCCAAGTGAACACAACCGATAAAGATATAGGATGTACATTCAAGCTGTTTGAGGGGTAAAAAGTGTAAAATTTCGCCATATATTTTTTTTTTTCGTGTGGCCGTCTCTGTGGTCTAGTGGTCAAAGTTCCTGCCTACATATACAGAGGTCCCGGGTTCGATTCCCGGCGCTACCAGATTTTCTGAGACGTAGAGGGTCTGGAACGGGGTCCACTCAGCCTCGTGCTAATAATTGAGCTATCAAGGAAACTGCGGCTTCGGTCTAGAAAACCGAGATTAACGGCCGTGTGGATCAATTTCGCTGACCACGCGACACCCTCTATCCGCAAAAGTTGGCACTAACTTCGCCGTCAAGCGGTGGTCGCTCGGTCGGTATAGTTCGCTTGCGGACTACAGGTCACGGAGGTTTTTTTTCGTATCATTAGATCTCGACATGTCTCCCCCTTATGGCGAGGCAGACAACTAATTCTGTGCAGACAGGCGTTACGCTTACTCTTTAATTAAATTGAAATCCTGTACTAAGATGTGCATGTAAAGGTATTGTGTGAATTGTTACAACAGTTGTCGCTTTCTCTTTGCATTAAATCCCAAAGATATTATCCAGACTGGCTGATATCTTAACAGCGTCGTTAACGAAACAACCGTTCATGATCCAAGTAAATCGAAGAAAGTCTTGAATCAGCTGTACCCAATGCATATGCAGTATACCTACTGTTCTCACAGTTCGTCTTTCAGCGCTCTTCTTCATACTTCTTACACTTTATATAACTTGGCTTGTGAAAAGTAAAGCTATCCCTGTAACAGGCCGTGGAAACCCATACGGTTGTGAGACGTCGAGGCTCGCACATTTTCTCTAGACAGTCTGCTCACAGATGGTGCTGAGGTTGTCAACCTTACGCGCCGGCCGCCATTTACCACGCAGGAAGATTCCTGGTACTCATTTCTGCTAGAGGCTGAGTCGATCCCAGGGTTATAATGCGGCTGGAAGGATTAGGTCAATTGAAAAATTCAGTAATCTCATCGGGAATCAAACCCGTGATCTTCAGGCTTATAGCATAGTGCCTCAACGAACCTCGCTACCGCGTGCCCCATATAACTTGGCTTGTACACAATTGTAATGTAAGTGCTTTAAATAGTCGTAAAACTGATATCCCAAGGCCAACAGACACATTTTGCTAAACAGCTTCTCGAAATGATAAACACTGACTTGCAAATAGGAACTGGACAGTTGCTGATGAGTGTCAGAAAATTCAGACCTCTTTTGGTTGGGTTATTTCTGTATATCGCGTATGTAAAGTTGTGCCTGTGCTCTCTTAGTTAAGCTCAATGCCATGAGAACGCATGGGGGGGTGTAGCTGTAGCTTCACCATTCTTGGCCTCTGAACTAGTTGGAGGTGAGTGGTCAGCTTCACGCCCAGGCCGCTTTACTTCCGGTGAAATCGCTTGCGGAACCCACTCTATAGGAAACTGGGTGGGCCCCAGAGCTATGTATAAGATAAAAATATTACAATGGTGGGAATCGAATCTGGGCTGTTCAGCTTTTATCCCTTCGCTATAAAGACTGAGCTATCCGGAACTCCCAATAATAACAATAACAACAATAATAATAATAATAATAATAATAATAATAATAATAAGGTAAAGTTGTCCCTGTGCTTAACTAATTAAACACTACGCCATAAAGGCGTATGGGGGAATGAATGTATAGATCCATAGATCCACATTTTGTTGACTCGGTACTGGTTTGAGTTGATTGGTCAGTTTCAGCCCCGGCCGCTTTACCCCCGGAAAAGAGCCCCCGCAACCCATTGGATAGGAGGTTGGGTGGACCTTAGAGCCAGTCTGGACGACGTGGAGAACAGAAAATTCTTGACCATACCGGGACTCGAATTCAGATCACTTGGTCGTCCAACCCAAAGCCAGTCGCTGTACAGACTACGCTATTCCGGCTCCAATAATAATAATAATAATAATAATAATATAAAAATTATCGGTATTTAATTTCTTTCGTTAATGGCTAATGTGATATTAAAAGGTACATGATTGTAGAAATACATTTACTCCATGGAGGTAAGTCATTCTTGAGAAGCCACCGGTCGCTCAGCTACTGAAGAATTTCCCCAAAAGAATTCGCTTTGTGTTCACTAAGATGTGACTGCGGCTTCTTGGCAATGCCGGCTGGGCGCAACGCTCAGCAGTTATGCAATGTAAAGCCTACCGTGTAATTCCAGGCCTTATAAAGCCGAATATGAGTACCCGAGGAAATTTATCGGAGTAGCTGGAACATGAAGGTGACTATTGACCTTCATCCAATCCGAACGTTAAGAATACTTTTGTGTTTCAACTCCACTTGGGACACACGCCTTCACGGGTCGATGCGCATCACCGCCATCTTTTCACTGTATCTGAATTCTTTCAGGCTGCGTACATGATTGTGGATGAGATGCATGAAGAACATCCGGAGCTGCTGAAGGACCAGTACTGGGAGGAAGTGGTACCCAAGGATCTGCCCTACACGGTGGCCTCCGAGCATTACAGGCGCACAGAACCCAAGGGCTCGGCCGAGAATTTCAAAGTGAAAGAAGCAGATTCCCTGTACGCCAATCTACTGCCTTCCAGGAAGTCGGTTCCTGATGACGTGTATGCTGATTACGTGAGTACCTGGAATGGAAACCTTGATTACTAATTCATAACAATATGCTATAATTTATTTTTAATTCTTAGGGTAGGGTCAGGCCGCGCCATAGCTCAAGCGGTTAGTCGCTGGCTTTCCACCGCGGCGGCCCGGATTCGATCCCGGGTCTGCTCAAGTGGGATTTGTGGTGGACAAAGTGGTGCTGGTGCAGGATTTCTCCGAGTACTTCGGTTTCCCCTGCCAATCTTCATTCCACCAATTGCTCCACAATCACCCTCACCTATCATCTGGGGCTGGTACAATAGGCCAGAAGTGGCCGCAGTGCAAGGGACTTAGTTCCACCCCACTAGCATTAAAAAAAATTAGGGTGGGGTCAGAATGAGACCACTTGTTACGACAGCCGCTATTGGACCTCTTGTACGAACCCCAGTTAATAATAGGCGAATGTGGAGCTGTTGGTGGAATAATAATTGGCGGGGGAAACGGAAGTTCACGGTGAAAACCTATCTCAGTACCAAAAAAACAAACTCCGTGACCAGTATTCCGCAAGCGAACTATACCGACCGAGCGACCGCCGCTTGTCAGCGAAGTTAGTGCCAATTTTTGCTGTTAGAAGGTGTCACGTGGTTAGCGCAACGAATCCCCACGGCCGTTAATGTCGGTTTTCTAAACCGGAGCCTCTTTTTCCTTGAAATAGCTCCTCATTTACCCTCACGAGGCTGAGTGGACCCCGTTACAGACCCACTACTTCTCAGAAAATCTGGTAGCGCCGGGAATCGAACCCGAGACCTCCGGATCTGTAGGCAGGAACTCTGACCACTAGACCACAGAGGCTGTCACTTTCTCCAATACAAATCCTACAGGACCTGACGTAGTACTGAACCCGGGCATCAGCGACTGTCTGAGATGTCTCCATTACTCGAAATAAGATCTACAGTTCTTCTACAGAAGGATTCAGAGCAAGAAGTATGATATTAAATTTTGAAGTTGAGATTAACAGAAAGCAAAATGCAGGACAGAGCTTCAGAATAACAGACAGTGTAGCGACAGATGAGGGTCTGAACTGGTAACAATGCTATAATTTCTTCGTCCATACCTCAAGATTGCGGCCGTGTTCTTCATAATCTCATAACAAATGCATTTCTTTCTTTCTTCTTGTCACCTTTGTGTGTCACATTCTTCGCCCATCTCATTATCCTTAGTTGGTTTCATCGTCGAAATGATAGTTCATGAAGGATAAAAACTGTTAAGTTCGTCATTATAGAATCTTCTGGGCCCTCCTGTCACTTGCAGATCCCCTCCTCAGTTCTGTATATGCAGACATCCTCAATCAGTGTTCTTTCTTTAATGCGATATACACTCGTTCTCCTATGGTCACGAGGCTGCGCCGTCATCACCTGGTGATGTGTACCGTTATGTCGTAATAAGAAAAAAATCTCTATTCTGTTTTCATACGTCGGTGGGAAATTCAAACGTATTTGTACAGAACCCCCCCCCCCCCCGCCAAAGGTTTTCTACACAAGTTGTGTCGTACCCTGGTTCATGGAGTAGATGGCCTCTACCATTTTACATACCTATTCCTGCCGTCTGTAATTTTACATAGTTTTTAGAGGGCCGCCTCTGTGGTCTAGTGGTCAGAGTTCATGTCTACAGATCCAGAGATCCCGGGTTTGATTCCCGCCGCTACCAGATTTTCTGGGAAGTAGTGGTTCTGGAACGGGGTCCACTCAGCCTCGTGAGGATAATTGAGGAGCTATTTAAGGAAATAGCGGCTCCGGTCTAGAGAACCGAAATTAACGGCCATGGGGATCCGTTGCGCTGACCACGCGACACCCTCAATCCGCTAAAGTTGGTATTAACTTCGCCGACTAGCGGCGGTCGCTCGGTCGTTATAGTTCGCTTGCGGGCTAAAAGCCAAGGAGTTTTTAGTTTTTCAAAATTCTGGCTAAGATATGTCAAGGTAAAAGGATTCTGAACTGAATTGTGGGAAGCATGCCGCAGCTTCAGTGTGCTTCAATTTCTTCGTTAATGCGATACCGCTTCTATGTTGCTTCCCAACATTTATACTCGTATTTTGCCTTGATTGCGAAAGATTTGTTGAGTGAGCTACTAAATTTTCTCTTCGTTTATTATAGACCAAGCTCCTTATTAGCGTCTTTATGGTATTTCCCCCAGTAACATAATATACTTATTGAATTCCAGTTTCTCCTAATCTTACAATTTCCTAAACGAGATATATTTTATTTTTTACGCAGAGAGGATTCGGTTAAGGCTCTGTGGTTCTCAGAACGGCAGTGGTTTCCAAAATTTTGGGGCACGCCACGCTGTGGTGGGGGGATATATTGTTGGGGTCGTTTTATGTAAAAATTGAATTGGTTACAACTTTCAAAATATCAAGAGTTCCATTGTTTAATTTCGTGCATTTGTAAAACCATGATACAGTGCGGTCGCATTTCGTGCGAATTTCAAATAGCTCGATAACAAAAATATTAATGAAAACTCACTTTATGCACACATTTTTAAATAATACGAAATTATCCCTATGAGAAACCTTGTCTTGAATTATGCGAAATCTTCAGGAACGCATAACATGCGACTGCACTTCTCATGTTACGAACTGACTTAAAAAGAACCAAAGGTATGTTGATCTTAGAAACGAAAAACTGAAGAGTGTGGCCATTGTAAAATTAAGGAGGAGAGTCCGAAGAAATCTCTGCTAAGTTGAGAGTGTGTCATTGCTAGGGCCCGGATCTTTATGCGCTATAAACACTTAAAATATGCTCTAAAAAGCGGGAAAATATGCACTTAAGAAGCAGGTCACTTTGAATAGACTCACCTATTTACTTGTATCCTTCACTGCAGAAAGTAGCATCACAATAGGCAACTAGAAGTCTTTCAGTGTTTTCTGGAGACAAACTACGTCTGTTGTCCGTCAAAATGAGTTTATAGGCTGAGAATGATCTTTCTACATCAATTGGCGCGATTGGACAGTGTTTATACACTGGCGCCGAAGGTTCGGAACATTCATCTGGCAAATACACCCAAATTCCACTCAAGTACTAACTAATTGACCGAATCTCTTTTAGTCCTGGGTTCGAATTCAACACCATTTCTAACTTGCATTTAATCTTGTCTCCAATTTCGCCTAGTGCGAAATTCAGTGAACAAGTTGCTTTCTGAACGAGTTCAAGTGAGTCGTGAAGGAGAGCACCACAAGATTCTAAGCTCTCAATGGCTTTTGAAAATGTAGAAAAATGTGCATGGATAAAATTCACATCATGATAAACATTATCACTTTCAATCACCACTTTTGCTTCACGGACACATGCATTCTCATCTTCAAGTTTTGTAACCACTTCTTTTACTTGATTGAAATTCTCCTGATAATATGAAACTGCAGATATCCATGTCCCCCACCTAGTTAGTTAGGACAGGTTAAGGTGGCAGAGGAACCTGAGGTAGGCAGTATTTGTAGAACTGGACACTAGCCGGTGCTTTCAGAAACAATTTTTTCCCATTTGCAATTAAATCCTTAACGGCTGGAGACTGTGCGCGTATTTTTCTGCAATACGGTGTAATCCTTGAGCTAAACAGGTTACGTGTATAAGATAAGATTTGCTGCTTTCAACATATAGAAAGCTCCATCTGTGAGCAATGCAAGCACCTTACAACAATTATTCTCAATTCCAGATGGCCATAGTAGTCGCAGAGAATCATTTACAGATCTTGCTATTGTGCTATGGTTGGTTTTCTCTAGTACTTTGCAAGCAAGAAGATGAGGTTTGCCGGTTTTGTCTGGATGTAGCTTAACAACTACGAAATTTACTATGCATCGGCCACATAAATCGGTTGTCTTATCCTTAATTTCAAACATATATGCAGAAATATGCTCTTACGTTTAAAATATGCAATAACGACCAAAAACCCTCAAAATATGCATTTTCAAAAAAATCTGGGCCCTAGTCAGTAAGGTTAAGTGCGTGTTATTCCCGCAGGAGAGCGTTGACACGCCGCTGGTAGAGCGAAGGAAGAACTGGTTTCAGCGGCAGCTGAATCGAATGGGGTCTGTGCGCTCCTCCAGCACCACCTACTCTTCAGGCCTCTTTGGTAGAGGGCGCCACAACTCGGTGTATTCAAGTCCAGAAGCGGGACCTCCTGGGCCCCCGGGAGGGCCTAACTCCGTGCTACAGCACAAGATGTCGTTTTACGACAGATTTGTGAGCCGCAAGTCCGGTCGGGGGCAGCACCGCGGCGCCAGTAGACAAGGTGCGTATTCACTCTGCAGCCACTGCAGATTCTTACAGAATTGTCTCATATACAGTAAGTAACCGCCAATCTGGTTACAGTTCAACCGGATTGAAAAATGAAGTAAAAAGGTAAAGTTGTCCCTGTGCTTAACTAATTAAACACTGAGGCATGAAGGCGTATAGGGGGGAGTGGATCTATAGATCCACGTTTTCTTGACCTCAGCACTAGTTGGAGGTGAGTGGTCAGCTTCACGCCCAGGCCTCTTTACCTGCGGGGAATTATTTTTTTTTAATTCGCTTAGTGGGCGGTGGAGTCCAACTGGGTCCACTGATTGGCCTATTGTAGCCTGCCCCGGGTGATTATGATGATGGAGAATTTGGTGGAATGAAGATTGGCAGGGGAAACCGAAGTAAAGTAAAAAGTAAGTAAAGTAAAGCTATCCCTGTAACAGGCCGTGAAGGCCCATAAGGGTGTGAGACGTTGAGGGTCCCACATTATCTAGACAATCAGCTCAAAGATGGCGGTAAGGTTGTCAGCCTTACGCGCCGGCCGCGCTTCACTCCCCAGGAAAATCATTTAATTAATTCCTGGTACTCATTTATCTTAGAGGCTGAGTAAACCCCAGGGCCTAGTGCGATGATCTCATCGGGAGGGGAAAACCGAAGTACTCGGAGAAAACCCGCCCCAGCGCCACTTTTTCCACCACAAATCCTACTTGACCAAACTAGGGATCGAACCCGGGCCGCCGCGGTGAGAAGCCAGCGACTAACCGCTTGAGCTATGGCGCGTCCTACCCGCGAGGAAAGAGCCCCCGGTACCCATTGGACAGGAGGCTGGGTGAACCCCAGAAACAGTGTAGAAGATGTGGAGAAGAGAAAATTCTTGACCCTATCGGAACTCGAACTCCGACCTCTCAATCGTCCAGCCCGTAGCCAGTCGCTATACCGACTGCGCTATCCCGGCTCCGTTCACAGTTCAATACAGACTTTAAAGTAATGAATGAATTAATTAAATGAATCACATGTCTGTTCAGGCAAAATTTGACAATTTCTTGAAACCCGCATTTCTTTGTATCCTTTTCTTTTGTATATGCACATGAGTGTACGTACACCAGTTATTAAGCAATTTGAAATAATGATATTTAAATGAGAATAAATGTTATTCACTAACTTATAATTTTCTCGCGTTGAATTTACGGTTGATTACTCATTTGTCGATCACTTAGGGGTGTTACAGCAGCTAGGCTGACGTCGATGGCTGGATGAGAAATAAATGATGGTTTGGAAGGATGCGGGAGTGGTCTAATCTAGGTAATATTCTGACATTTGCCTGGAGGGTCTCAAGAGAATCGCCAAAAATCTGTGTGGGATAGTCGCCGTTCAGGTGTAGAGTTGAACGGGGCACCTTCCGAATACTGCTACAGCAACCCCCTTGATCATATTTCTTTTTAGCTATCCCTGTAACAGGCCGTGAAGGCCCATAGGGTTGTGAGACGTCAAAAGCTGACACATCTTCTAGACAATTGGCTCACAGATGGCGGTGAGGTTCTCAGCCTTCCTCGCCGGCCGCCCTTTATCCCCCAGGGAGATTCGTGGTACTCATTTCTGTTAGGGGCTGAGCCCTTTATTATATAGTTGAGAGAATGTAGAAGAAGACTAAGAATTAATACAAAAACAAACAAAGAAATTGCGAAAAATTTAAATGGCTATACAGAAGTGAGACGTGATGGAATATTTTTGTGTCGAATTATGGAATCAACATATAAGAATTAATTTAAACATTCAGCATTATTTTATGTTACCCCAAATTTGTTGTTAGTGCCGGTCACGGCAGCCAAGCGGTCTAAGGCATGAACTGTCTTCGCTCGCTCGGAAGTCGGGATCGTGGGTTCAGATCTGTTTCCTGTGAGGTACTAACTTAATTCTTATACACTGCCGGTCACGGTAGCCGAGCGGTCTAAGGCATGAACTGTCTTTGCTTCCCCGGAAGCCGGAATCGTAGGTTCGAATACCACACAAGACATGGATGTTTGGTATGTATGTGCGTTTCTTCTGTGTTTGTGTTGTCCTGTGTTTAGATAGCGGCCTTGCGACGAGCTGATCACCCGTCCAAGGAGTCCTATCGTCTGTAAAATGATCATGAAACTGAGAAATCAGCCCTCTGCTCCAAAGTTGGAGCAAGAGGAGAGAATAAGAAGTTGGTTAGTGTCAGTAATGATGTGAAGAACGAGGAAGGACGCTGTGGCGACCTATTTCAAGGTGTTATTCCGAAATTCTTGCGCAGAATCATGCATGCAAAGCAAGCATCTGGTTGGCCGATAACAGTATACAGCACAGCACAGACATAGCGCAGTAAGTGATTAGCAGGACCCGGATTTTGATGACCTGAATATATTTAAAAAAATGACGTATAAAATGACCAAAAAATCCAGAAAAATGACCTAAAATATGACCCAGAAATGTAATATGCAGGGCCCGGATTTTGACGACCCGAAAATATTCAAAAAATTGCCTATAAAATGACCGAAAAATATCCAGAAAAGTGACCTAAAGGAGAAAAGAAAGAACACTTCGCTTCCATGTTATTCACATTTCAGAAAACACATGAAGAAAAGTTCCTTAAAATGGCCAAAAATGACAAGAAATACCATTAAAAGTCCAAAAAATTACCCCCATAATGAAAAAATGACCTTAAACCTAAAAATGTAAAAAAATGACAAAAAATTGCCTATAAAATTTACATATCTGTAACAAGCATCTCATATCCGAGATTTATATATTTAAGAGCATCGCATAAGATACGAGGGAAAAAAGATGACATGTCATCAAAATCCGGGCCCTGGTGATTAGGAACGGTCTGGCCTACCCGAATTGGATTCCTGGCGTGGGCAAAAAGATTTCTCTTCGCTGCAGCTACCAAACAAGTTCTGGAGCTTAGTCTCCAAAGTTAAGGCAGGCGGAGCACAAAGCTAATAGCACACATCTCTCTGTAGTAGAACCTCCATTTAATTATCAATTCTCCATCTTGTGGGTAACGTAACAAGCCCCAACTAGGGCGGGAGAATATAGCATTGTTGTCATGTCTTTATTTAATCTCCGAATATCAAAAGATGTAGTTGCAAAATTCCAGTGTTTAGTGGAGCACACATCGGTCCGTTTAGCGGATCAGCCCTTGCAAATAAAACGCGCATTTTAAGTTCTTGAGGCGTATTATAATAAGTCTGTATATCATTTACCCATGAAAAATAGCAGCTGTCATAACTTAAATTGGCGGCTTTTCACTGTAGGATTTAAATTTGGAAGTTCTAACGTTCACATGAACACAGATAATGTTATCTGAATAGTGGATATACTCCGTGGCTTTAGTCCGCAAGCGAACTATACCGACCGAGCGTCCGCCGCTTGTCGGCGAAGTTAGTGCCAACTTTTTGCGGATAGAGGGTGTCGCGTTGTATGCGCAACGAATCCCCACGGCCGTTAATATCCGTTTTCTAGACCGGAGCCGCAGTTTCCTTGAAATAGCTCCTCAGTTATCATCATGAGGCTGAGTGGACCTCGTTGCAGACCCACTACTTCTCAGAAAAAGCTGGTAGCGCCGGTAATCGAACCCTAGACCTCTGGATCTGTAGCCAGGAACCACTAGACTACAGAGGCGGTCCGTGAATAGTGGATATAGTTTCTGAACCCCCCGGTACAGTCATCAGATTCCTACATATAATCATGAAAGGATGACCTCAACGGCAAGAAAGGATAGTCAGTACTTTGAGAGTGATTCGCAAATGGTGAACGTCCCCACTAAATTTATTGACGATTTTTTGTCTCTCCGTCATTAAATTACGCTTAAGTCCTCAGACGAGTAATTTGGACTCTGATGATAGGATCTTCAGACTCTGCTGTTCCATCTCTCCGGTCAATAACACATACGAGTACAAAGAAGTTTAGAAGCCGCGTCTGTCTTATGCAGTTTGCAACTATTCTCAGAAGGCTATCAGCAAAAAGATAGAAAAAAGAAGCTGTAGTTCGTAATTACGAATATATTGAAGAAGTTCCCGTATTCTTGTCATGCGAGTGGCCAAATTATAGGTTGTGTTCTACATATCTTCCTGCAACTTAATTTGTCAAAATAATTGCTTATCTGTTCTTCATAACATAATAGACTGACATGGCTTTGTAAAATTTTAATGTTGTTCCTTTTGTTGTGTTATCTGATAATAACGTTAAACTTGTATAATCTAAATCACAGTCTTTAACATACCACTCACCCACTCGTGGAGCTGAGCCCTTCTTGAGATGGCGCCGGTTGTACAGTTACTCAAGAACTTTCAAGCATTTTATGGAACCATAAGGTTCATTGCCGTGTTCACAAGAGTCTTCCCCTGGTCCCTATTCTGAACCAGATCAATTCAACCCTTACCACCCCACCCTGTTTCCCTAAAATTAATTTAAATATTGTCGTTCCGCCTAAGTCTAGGTCTGCCTATTGGTCTTTTTCCTTCTGGCTCTCCCACCGATATCCCATATGCATTTCTCTTCTTCCCCCCATGCGTTCTACATTCCCTCTAATATTCCTTAATTTGAAACATTCTGGGTTAAAACGGGACTTTTTTTTCCGTTGTACTGTTGCCATTGTGTCAGTAGTCAACGGCGGAGTTTGTGTGCATTTAGAAACCACCGATAGTCATGTCAGCAGGCTTCGAATTGTCAGCGCATTTCTTATATAACAACGAATTTCCGGTGGTGTGTTGCAAAAACTGTCGTGATTCTTCCCGGTGATCTGCCAACTTTTGTTTCTCACGTTTTCGCTCTGCGTGGCAGCCCAGATATAATTTTCCTTTTACTTGTAACTTTTTTTGTAATTTCATCTTTTAAACTTAGGGCTCGTCCGCCCTGCTAGTGTGTTCTTGCGCGCGTGCATGAGAGGAAGAGCATTTGTCTCTAGCCAGGCCTCCTATGAAAGTTTAGCTTTGTGCTCTTAGGTTGGTAACCGTGGGACAAATGAGGGAGATTTGAATTTCCCAAGGCGGGAAGTATGAAGATTGTTGTTGGGTTTCTCCGAAAAGTTTTATAACACTGTTTAGTCTAGTAGAATGTCACCAACGTTTCAGATAAACGCGCTACTTTTAAAACTTTGTTAACCCCGTGTAGTCTGGTAGAACTTCGCCATTGTTTCGGAGGAATCTGCGTCCTCTTTCTTAATGTTGAAAATAAACTAGAATAGTTTTGACGACTGAGGCAATTTCTTTGCTAATTTCGTGTATTGGGGCAAGACGTTACCGACGTTTCGAAAGAACTCGCTGCCTATATCTTCGTGATAGGTAAATAGCTGAGGGTAGTTTTATACCCTGAAAATGGGTAATTACTTTGGTAATTACCCAACAGAAGCCTGTAATCATATTCAGAGCAGAGCGAACCTCAAATCTTACTCAAATAACAAACCTCTTCTCCTGTTATCTCTTGAATTACCACGTTTCGAAGCCTTCATAAGGAGATATAAAGGGTGATATTCTTCGTTTCAGTAGCGCCATGACACTAATCAGAAAAGTACACAGTACGACAGTGAAATGACACGGTTCACACACACACACACAAGACCTTGGTCGGTATTCTAAACATACATTCCCAGCGATTTCTGTATCATTTACGGAGGCTTTCACAGGTCTGGAAGTTGTCTGCCTTCAGAGATACGAATGCGCATGCTCTGCACAGGATGCAATTACAACAAAGGTAATCAACTCACGACTGCGCAAAGCGATACACCGTAAGATGCAGGAATAATCACTGCTGCGTGTAGATGACGGACTGTTGAAGTGGCAAGGACGTGTGAAGAGAAATGTCGCAGATATCCACGTGTACTGAAGCCGGATAGCTCAGTCAGAATTCGAGGAATCTGCGTTCGATTTGTTGACTCTCCTTTCCACAGTGTCCAGGCCAACCAAGCTATCTGTCGAATGGGTACACTCCCCTCTAGCCAGTGTCGAGGTTACTAAACATAGACCTATACCTCCAACCTCTTCCACACGTCTTCTTGGCCTGGTGATGCTGACCACTATCTGATGATGGAAGAGGTTAGGGAAAGACTGGCAGTGAGTAAACAAATAACGGACAGAGTTCATATGAAAAGGCGCAATCTCAGGAAATTAAACGAGGTCTCCTTACTTTTACTTTTCATTTTCTAGCCCATAACTCAACAACGAATTTGTTGAAGAAGAAATTGATAATTCCAATGAAACAAGACAAGAAAAAGAAGAAACTTAAAAAAAACTGTTGAAATTAAATATGTAAAGTAAAAAAAAAGTAAATCTATCCCTGTACCAGGCCGTGAAGGCCCATGGGGCTGTGAGACGTTGAGGGTCCCACATTATGTAGACAATCGGCTCAAAAATGGCGGTAGGGTTGTCAGCCTTACGCGCCGGCCGCGCTTTACTCCACAGGAAAATTATTTAATTAATTCTTGATACTCATTTCTGTTGCGGCTGGAAGGATTAGGTCAACTGAAAAAAATCCAGTGACCTCATCGGGACTTGAACCCGCGACCTTCCGGCTTGTAGCATAGCCCCTCAACCACTACGCTACCGCACAAATGAAAACATATAAGGAACAAATCGAAGCCACAAATATGTCAAGAATCTTAATATTATCCTGTCATTACTTTTGCTAACGATACTCGCCAAAATACGATTAAATTAACCTATTATAGAAAAGTAAGCTAATTATGAAAACTATTATTATGAAAAACTAACGAATTTGTGTAATATTTGTACTCTCATTAATTATTTTAATATAATTTATATGTTAGTTACTCGTATATACAAATTTGGTCAGAGGGCTTGAAGATTGACTAACGTTACGGAAGAATGACACTTCAATATGAAGATGGCTGCTTGGGCCAAAGGAAAATTTACGGAAGTGTTGTAAAGATTCAGAGTGTTGCTGGAGTTGGTGGTGAATAGATGTAAAGATGGCTCAAACGGAAAATATTTTACTCTGAAGAAATGAGGAAACTTGTGTATCGTTTGGCTACATGAATTGAATTTTATAAATATGCAAAGTATATGTAACTAGGCGCCCTCATTTTGTCAGCACAACTAATAATGAAAGTGTATTGATGTTTTTTTTTCGTTGGCTCTACAGCCCCCCTGGGCCCTGCCCTCTGATTATTTTTTAGTTTAATCATCATTTTACAGACGGTAGGACTCCTTGGACGGGTGATCAGCTCGTCGCAAGACCTCTACCTAAACACAGCACAACACAAACACAGAATAAACACATACACAAACAAATCATCGGTGCCTTTTATGAGATTCGAACACACGATCCCGGCTTCCGAGCGAGCGAAGACAGTTCATGCCTTAGACCGCTCGGCTACCGTGACCGGCATATATTGAATTAATCACAACAAAAATTACCTCGAATTTTATATTTACCTTCATATTTGCAAACGGAGTTAATATATCGGTCAATTTTTAAATGATTGTACGAGGAAATTCATACGAGACAGAAATAAAAACTTATAGGCGTAATAGATTGATATCAACTGGCCAAAAACTAATCCTGTTTAGGGTCGAGACTCACTGATAGTCAATACGCATAAATCTTTCTCCTTTTACAAAAGATTTCCGTGGAGGGGAACATAATGAGTCTTTAAATAATTTTTTGTAGCTGCCCAGCTTTCGCCGGGCACTTGCGAGATTCGCCGATAATATAGAGGTGATAGCAGAAACGATTTTGACCCAATCCCTGAATTTTTCAAATTGGCAGAAACAGGAAAACGAACCCGACATTTGAATTAGAGGGACACCGGTGTGCCCAGCCTCCTGTCCAATGGGTACCGGGAACGATTTCCCCCGGGATAAAGAGGCCGGTGGCGTGAAGCCGACCACTCACATCCATCTAGTCCAGAGGTCAAGAATGATGGACCTGTACCTCTACTCTTCAACATGTCTTCATGTCATAATGCTTAATTGAGCACAGGGACAACTTTACCTTGAACTCAACTTACCGATGTGCAATGCGATTAATCGAACTGTCATTCAACAAAATGCATCGTCTGTTGCAGGCACTACCAAGATGAACGGGTCAGTAGTACCTATGGCTCTGAAGAATCGACCCCGAATTCCCACACCGGACGTAACCAAAGAGGTGGTTGATCGCGAGAACAAGCTCGCAAGCATGAACATTGTCAGCGGAACGAGTGGAGGTTCCTCCACGCCGGCGGTGCTGAATGGCGTGCACCACCACCATCACCATCACCAAGGGTACTCGACCGAGCTACCAGTTGTGCAGGTGGTGCTGTCCCCAATACAGGAAACGGAAGGTGGTTCTGGCGGACACCACCATCACCACCAGGGCGGACCAGGAGGCACCGCTGCCCTAGCCCACGCGGTCCTGTCGCCTGCTCTCAAGACGGCAGGCATCAGCTCCGTCACGCTGAACGGCAACCCAGGCACAGCGACTGCTGTTCTCGCTACAGCACCCGTCAACGTGGCTATGAGCACCATGACGCTCACGCCAGTCACGATGAGTCAGCCTCTGCTCACGTCCCTAGGGTTCAGCAACGTGAGCAGCGCCCCTAACACACCACCACAGTCCCTGCAGGTGGTACAGCCAACCGTGACGCTCACAGAACTCAGTTCTGGTTCCGAGGAAGACGGGACAAACAGCGCTAACGAGAGCGCTTCGCGGGAAGATCGCAGCAGGAAGGCGAGCGTCGCGTCGCAGGCCAATTCCACCAAGCGCGGCGAAGTGTATGTGTAGCCACTGCATAGTGAACCGCAATAAATTATCCGTAGGTAGAAGCGACGTGAATGTGTTCGGAAGTCATTTTACTGAGTCACTTCTCCGACAGTATGGAAGGACATTGCAGTCCCCAGACTGAAGTCTAAGAATAGTAAATACTGAGACACTCAAGACTGGAGATAGAAATGTGTAACAATAATATGAATTATGATTGTTCACTAGTGGGTGCACATTAGGTTATAAAAGCCTGACTGGTAATTATTAGGATCAAAAGAGAGTCAACTGGAACCGAAGTTCAATTTTGGAGACTGCAAAAAGGCAGCAGACTTTGAAGGACAGGTAGTTGTAGATATTTCTGCTGAGATAAATAAATTGCATTAGTATGAAAATTAAAAATAAATGACTCGAACAGCAGAGTACGTTGAGAAGTGGTCAAGAAGAAAAGTGTGCCAAGTTTTAATATTTAATAGTATTGTCAGTAAGAGTGAGTGAACAGGCTTGTATGAAATTCTGAATTGGCTGTGATGTCAACAAGCCAGAGTTGAGAGGTATTCCTGTTTACATCAATATACGCAGCGAAATATCTTCCTGTATCAGGACAAGTTGCATGCATGATCATGAGACACTATGCAGTAACTCACTGCTATAGCTGGATATATACATATTTAACGATGACATAAATATATTACCATAACTTCAAGTCCCTAGGTATTAAAATTGATCGCAGATGGTGCTGAGTGACTATATGGGAGTGGTACTATTAATAATGTGCGTTGAAATGTTGTCATGCCTTGCCTTTGTCTATGACCCAAAGGGATCAGATTACAATCCCAACTGAATTTCTTATGTACAGAAACTATGATTTTATTTTTGTGTCCTAGTTTAGCTTTTCACATTCCAACAAGTTTTTACATGACTATTCTTGTATTATGTCTCATATACAATATATACAGGCAGTATACTCAAACTGCATAACATTGTTTATCCAACAAAGAATTTATTTTTAAAGTTTAAAATTTTGAGATATGTTGAATATCTGCAAGTGTGATTGTTCAAGCAGTATTTCGAATCATACTTATACTTACTTAGCCAAGCTGCGTATGCTACAGTCGTCACAACTGAGACTCATGTTTAGGAGTATTAGATTGTTTGAGGAAGGTTCCTTATAAATATGAGGGTTGTTCAAAGAACATTCATTTGTGAGTTGTTCATATTGAAGGAATAAAGGCTGTTAAAGCAATCCCCATGGGCATTGAGGCTGGTATCCCATTGCAGCATTTGCTGATGGGTTCCCTCCACAGACACCTCCCTGGGCTGCTGATTGCATCCAATTGAAGCGCTCTCCAATGGTCCCCTCCACAGAGAATTTCCTTGGCTGCTACAGGCATCGTCTTGCAGCACCATCTGATGGTTCCCCTCTACAGAAAACTCACTGGCCTGCTGGAACCACGGCACCTCTGTGGCCTTGGCTTCTTTCTCTGACCAAAATCTAGGGACATTTGGCATTCTTTTGAAGGGCAGAACACAGCCAAGCATAGCTAATCATATGAATGGATTTTACTTGAACAACCATAATAATATCTTAAAGTGTACTTAATTAACAAAGCTTCATATCTACAGTCATCTCAAATGAAACTGTTATTTTTTAATATTAGATATTCTGATATGGCTTGCTATTGATAAGTACGTACAAGCAGTGGGAAATAGAGAAGTGGGAAATCCCTGTAGGCATGACCAGACCACAATTATATATGCACTTGAACACACAACCCAGTACATAAGCAACTATGTATGATGTTGTTATTATTATTTAATTTTATTTTGAACATTGTTTTCATGATTGAATTTTAAACATTTAGTTTAAATATACAATTATATGGCTGTATTTATACAAAATCATTGTTACATTTATTACCATTACATATTATCACTAACAACCTGAAAGGCTAGGCCCATTGGATTGTTCCATTACCGTTAAAAATTTCACTTTACCAATACAACATTTTACAGACACATATGCTTAATTCCCTAGATATTTCCCATTATCATCTGTAGACATGCCTCACATGAAAGATTGGCATTTTACACTTGGTTAGAAGACTTGGGATCTCTGTTCTACCTGTTTTGACAGGCAAATACTATGAAAGTTCCCAAAGATGTGTAACTATATGGACCAGGACCCTTCTTGAGAAGCTGAAGTCCCCTCAGCAAGTTAAAAAAAATACCCAACTTTCAGAGAGCGCAACATACCATTAGCAACCTCACTGCCATTTGTGAGCCGATTGTGTAAAGTAAATGTGGGAGCCTCAACATCTCACAACCGTACGGGCCTTCACTGCTTGTTAGAGGGATAACTTTACTTTAACTTTACTCTACTGGCAACTATGAGGCTGTGACTGTCTCTTTCCAGTTCATAATTTACTGGTCATCATTATCATTCAAAATTATATAGTCTCAGATAATGACAGGATCATAAAATGAATCAAAAGTAATATTTCTGGGTCCCCAAAGTGATTTTTTTCCACAGATTTTCTGACCAAAATTTTGTATGCATTTCTCCTCCCATGTGTGCTGCATGTCCAACCCACCTCATCATCCTTGATTTGATTGCCCTGTTTGTGTTGTAAGAGCCGGGCTAGCATAGTCGGTATAGAGACTTGCTATGGGCTAGACTGAGACGATCGGAGTTCGAGTCCCAGAAGGATCAAGAATTTTATCTTCTCCACGTTGTTTAGACGGGCTCTGGGGCCCACCCAGCTTCCTGTTCAATGGGTACTGGGGACTCTTTTCCCAGGGATAAAGCGGCCGGGGCCTGAAGCTGACCACTCACCTCCAACTAGTGCTGAGGTCAAGAAAATGTGGATCTATACATCCACTGACCCATACACCATCATGGTGTAGTGCTTAATTACTTAAGCACAGGAACAATTTTTAATTGTGTTGTATTTAACGTTGTGAAAGAAATGAGTTTATCCTTGAAAATGGAATTAAAATTTGCAATGCATCTTATACATGAACACATATTATTTTTAAAATTTTCCTCTGTAAAACATTATGAATCATAAACCCAGTGCATGTTGTATATGCTGCAGATTTTAACTTAAACAGCTCCTCATTATGTAATTTTGACCACTCTGTCCATAAACTCAGTCTCACATTAAATGTAGCTATGAATTCTTGGAAAGAAGACTGCATGTTTATCTTTCCACTTCAGAAATGATACAGCCTTGAATTAAACTGCTTTCATTTCATAATTTTAAAATCTGCTTGTTAACTGAATGATAGTATTGCATAACTGTTTCTGAATGTCCAATTTTGTCTTCAAGTATACTGAAATATATCATGTGATGATCACTTGGATATGTAGCAGAACAGATAACTTAGACTTATCTAATCACAGTCAATAGTCAGTAAGTTTGATATTATATTCTGCTGAATGACCAAGAAATTTGCTCTTAGCAATATCACATTTCATCATATTTTAAACAAGTCCATTCATTATTCTCTACTAAAATTTTCACTCCTATTTGTCTGTAAATTTGTAATATCAGATTGAATCCTTCTTTGTTTTAACGGAAAACGTTCTTTGAAGAGTGCTGTGCATATACCAAAAGTTACTTTGATTTCAGTGTTTTGTGATTCAAGAAGGATTTTTCACTTCACATCTATTATTCACAGTCTTACATGTAACATCACATCCCACAAAACTTTTTAAGTTCGAAAGTTTAAAAGTTCACAAAATGTTTCGGCCAATATGGCCATTGTCAGTTGTTTAAAATCTTTTTGACGAGGAAACTTATTTCTTCTGTTTTTTAAAATATATGTAGGTCCCTTTGATTGCTCGTGTGTTGGAGCTGCTGCGTTGTGTTCTTCCGTGCTGTGTGTCTTGTTCTTAAGGTAAAACACTCAGGAACAAGACACGCAGCAAACACGCAGCAAGGAAGAACACAATGCAGCAACTCCAACACACAAGCACATTGAAGGGACATGCATATATACTAACAACAGAAGACAACAGTTTCCTCTTCAAAAAGATTAAACCGAGATTAAGGGCCGTGGGGATCTGTTGCGCTGACCATGCAACACCCTCTATCCTCTAAAGTTAGCACTAAATTCGCCAAAAAATGGAGGTTGCTCGGTCGGTATAGTTTGCTTGAGGACTACAGCCTACGGAGTTTGTTTGTTGAGAGAATGTCACAGATGGAGAATGTTTTAGAACAAGATGTTGAGGAGAATGTCTGGACCAGAGAGAGATTATATAATTAGAGGATGGAGAATATAACATAATTTGGGGCATCATAATTTGTCTACACCATATATTATATTATTATTAAGTTGAAAAATTAATGAGGATTTGATGGGTAGCCATACATATGCAGATGTGTACCAGTACAAAATTTCAGCTGGGAAATCTGACTAGAAAGCCCACATGAGAGAACAGCTATTGGTGGGGTGAAAGTACTAAAATGGATTTTAAAGAATTATGATGTGAGAGTTTGGATTGTACCTCGAGTAAGTCTCGACCACTTCCTTACAAATTCTTTACAATTCACCATTCTTCAATCTTCCTATCATTCGAAGCTCTATAGCCTAAAAACCAACATCATAAATAACCCATTAGAAAGAAAAGTAGACAGTAATATTGAAGAAAACATGACCAAGGCTCCTTGAGTCAGTTGTTGTATTATGGCTCACATATGTGATAAATTTCCAATAGCAAACATTATCGTAATTAAGTAGGGCACGAGATTATAAACCCCGATGTCCTCGAAACTTTACTGTAAACAAGAACAAATTCTGGGAAGAACTAATCGCTTACTTTCCTATCCTACTTTGTCAGCCCTGGATCAAAAGTTCATGAGTTTGCTCTCCAGACGTATGTCGACCCTACATCCATGCACATAATTATCATTGTCCTAATTGTTTTGTTATCTTAATATGTTTACATTTTCATTTTTACTACGCTATGCACTGGCTACGAAACCTTCTGAGAGATAAAAGTGACTCGAGGTCATAGTTTTAAAATATGTGATCAATCGATATGTCCTATCGATAATGCGTCTTTCGATATAATGGTTATCGAGCCTGTAGGCTGGTAATGTTATATTCGTAAGAAACCAGCGGTTTTGTTTAGTTTGGACCGCTGCTTTGCTGAATTTATTCACGGAGATAAAATTCCCTTGGTGAATGCGAAGCAGATATGTTTTGAAGGTTATCAACAAATGCGGAAGCGGTTCCACCGAGTGACGTCCTTGCAATGTACTTTCATTTTCAATATAAGAAGTTGTTTTCCTGCTTATAACGCGCAGTGTAGTTTGTGACTTAAGACATAAACTCAGGACTTGTGAAGACATAAGTAAGTGAATTTATTTTTGTGGCTTATATATTGATTCCATAATTTTACGATACTCAAATGAAATGGTGGTACTGAAAATAATATTTTCTGGGTTGCGGACGCCAGGGTCTGGTAGAAGTTCACAGATTTCAGAGGAACGTACTGCATTCATCTTCAGGGTGGAAGAGTAAGTCGCAATTGTGTTTTAGAAAACTGCAGATCTAGAAATGGAGGAGAGGAATTTGTGCTGCAAGCGAGCCAGTGGGAGATTGTGGCCCTAAAAGGGATTATTTTGATAAAGGAGATAATACAAGAATATTGGAGGAAAGTGGCATACACCTACGTTCGTTACTGGACTGCGTGTCGCAATGGATCCATTGCTGTTAGTCTTGTCATGTTCACGTTTTTATGTAGAATTACTATATTTAAATATATTCAAATATTTATTTAAATTAATAAAGTTTATTTTAAAATTATCATTATTCTCTAAAAGTGATCGTATTACGTACAGGTTTTCTAAGAGAAGGGTGGGATAGGGGCACTATATTATTTATCAGCATTTAATATAGGAACATTCCGGTAAAGGATGATATGGACAGGTCATGTAGCACGAATGGGAAGAAGAGGAATGCATATAGGATCTTGGCGAGAAGGCCGGAAGGAAAGAGACCACTGGGAAGACCAAAGCGTAGGTGGGTGGACAATATTAAAATGGATCTTAGAGTTATAGGATAGTATGGATTTGATTGATGTTTCTCAGGACAGGGACCAGTGGAAGGCTCTTGTGAACACGGTAATGAACCTTCGGGTTCCATAAAATTCTGAGAAATTCTTGAGTAGCTGCAGAATTGGCGGCTCGTCAAGAAGGGCTCAGCTCCATGGGTAAGTAACGTACATTCCGGTAAGAATTTATCAGTGCACTCAACTGTGTGATTTGACGTTCTTATGGCGATGACTATGAAAATTAATTTGTTCTGATATGTTATGTTGTGTTGTCTCGTATCTCGTTTCCCTTACTCCTATCGGTTCACGCAGAGCCCCGTGAAGTTATCCCCTGTACTCCTGATGTAATTAAGCACTATGTGATGAAGGTATATGGGGGAGTGGAGGTTTAGTTCCATCATTCTTAACATGGACACTAAATGGAGGTGAATATTCTGCTTCACGCTCCTGCCGCTTTAATGCCGGGATAGAGCGCCCGGTACCCATTGGATAAGAGGTTGCATGGACCACCACAGAAAATCTGCATGCTATGGAGAAAAGAAGAAATGTATTGTTCTGCCAGGAATCGAAACCCGGTCGTACATATACTAGTCTCTATACCGACAAAGCTATCCCGGCTCCCTTTCCTACATACCGGTATATGCAAGTTCGTTGCATCAGTTTCAAACCGTGTTTCAGGTAAACAAGTTCTTACCTGATTAGTTCTCCGTTATCATTTTGTTGTACAAAGTCTTATTTTTTCTTTCTTTCATTCCTTTTGCATGCCTTATCTCTTGAGTGTTTGCCTCGTTTTCCAACCTATATTTATAAAACATAGATTCAGTTTGATGTCATTTCAAGGGTGATTTTGCGTTGCATGTACCTCAGAAAACCAGGGGCCAACTTGATATTATTCATTTTAGGGATATGATAGTAAACAGATGAAGGTGATGTAGACAATTTCGTCATCATTTGAAGGTTACTGGATTCTATTGTCAGCGTATTTCCGGTATTTATACCCCGGCGGGAGTACGTACGTACGTACAGAGGACGTTTCTTCCATAAGGTTGCCTGCACTAGCTATGACACCCTGGTTCGCAGAGTGGATGGAGTATATTAAATTTCTTCATGATAAGGAAAATAATGTAAATATCTGAACCGGTCTGAACGTCTTATTGTTTGATATGAGGGAACTAAACTATAATTTGCCGGTCACGGTAGCCAAGCGGTCTAAGACATGCACTGTCTTCGCTCGCTCGGAAGCCGGGATCGTGGGTTCGAATCCCACTCAGGGCATGGATGTTTGTGTGCGTTTTTCTGTGTTTGTGTACAGGTAGAGGCCTTGCGACGAGCTGATCACCCGCCCAAGGAGTCCTACTGAATGTGTAAGATCTAGTAAACTGAAGTGAAACGGAGTGTTTCATGGAGGTAGGCCTAGGCCCAAATTGGGGCTGTAGCGCCACAGAAAAAAAAAACTGTAATTTTACGTGAGTGTGAAATCTTGTCTCTCATCGTAAGGGAAGGTAACAGAATATTGATACCTGAGATTACGTTACTGAGAAGAAATTTAGGAACCGGAATAAAAGAACCAACGGATGACTGAAGAAAATTTAACATCGAAAATTAAAGCTGTCTCTATGCTTAATTAATTAAGCACTAAGTCATGAAGATACAGGTATATGGGGGAGTGGACGTATAGCTCCACCCTTCTTGGCTTTGGCACTAGCTGAAGGTGAGTTATCTTCAGACTCAAGTGGAATTTGTGGTGGACAAAGTGGCGCTGTGGCAGGTTTTCTCCGAGTGCTTCGGTTTCCCCTGCCAATCTTCAGTCCACCAATTGCTCCACAATCACCCTCACCTATCATCTGGGGCTGGTACAACAGGCCAGAAGTGGTCGCAGTACAAGCGACTTAGTCCCACCCACTAGCAATAAAAAAAATATCTTCAGACTCGGATCGCTTTACCCTCGGGGAAATAGGCCCTGGTATCCATTGGATAAGAGACTGGTCGGGTCCCAGAACCGGTATGGACGTTGTCATGATGAGAAAGATTTTGCCCTTTCCGGCATCCGAACCCCGGCCTTCCAGCCCGTAGCCCGTTGCTATACCGACAGAGCTGACCCGCACAGGCAGTCTAGTTACAACGTTATAGAATTCTAATCTGGAGGTGCTTCGTTCGAAACAGGTGTAGATAAGTGTATAGAAGAAAATATTTTAAAGAAATAGGATGTGATGATGTGGACAGAACGAAACTACCTCAGAACATAGTCCATTCTAGGGCTTTTGTGTAACTTGGTCTGGTGGTCAGAGTTCCTAGCTACAGATCCTGAGGTCCCTGGTTCGATTCCCCGGTGATACCAGATTTTCTGAGAAGTAGTGGTTCTGGAACGGGGTCCACTCAGCCTCGTTAGGATAATTGAGGAGCTATTTCAAGGAAATAGCGGCTCCGGTCTATAAAACCGAAATTAACGGCCGTGGGGATTCGTTGCGCTCACCACGCGACATTCTCTATCCTCTAAAGTTGGCACTAACTTCGCCGACAAGCGGTGGACTCTCGGTCGGTATAGTTCGCTGCGGGACTCAAGCCATAGAGTCTGTTTTCTTTTTTCTTTTTTTTTTTCATGAAATATTTGGAATCCTTGACGTGCCGAGCGACCATTAACTTCCCAAAATAAACTTTGCTCTTTAATGCTAATCAGTTGCAGGTATTTCTGATAATTATTGTTGAGAGTTGATAGTTTGTTGTTGTTGTTGTTGTTGTTGTTTTTTCCCCCTCCAGAATGCAGCGTTGGAGGGACAGAGTTGCTGTTGTGACAGGTGCCAGTTCCGGAATTGGAGCTGCAATATCCCTCGAGTTGGTCAAACATGGTCTTCGGGTTGCTGGGCTTGCGAGACGCGTCGATAAGGTTCAGGTGGGTTGCCCCTGCTCCTTATAATACGTTTTAAATTCGCCCCCTTCTACATTCACAGAATTCGTGACAAAGGAACCAAGTTAAGAAATGTTGTCTTTGGTTTTCTCACGACAATTATTATGAAGACCACTATTTCATGGCCTCTGATATTATTTAGTTTGTAGTTCATCGATGTTTCAGGCCAGTAGACTTCCCATATTCAGAATCGAAGAGAAAGCCAAGACCTGCTTGCTACTGGATTCTTCCTGCTGGCTTCAATTTCGACACTGAAAATGGAGTCTCGATATATTCAACCGAATCTTCAGTAAACTTCTGCTGGACTAGACAGTGTTATATCCCAGAAGATAGTACTCTTCAAGCTAGGAGACGTACGCATAGCGTCACGATTGTAGCATATTCGCTTTATTTCTCTTTGTTTAACTATCTTTAAGCACATAAAACGTATTTTTTTATTATTCTTAGTGGGTTGAGACTGAGTACACTTGGTACTGTGTCAACTATTGGCCTACTGTACCAGCCCCAGATGATACATGATGATGACTGTGAAGGTATTGGTGGAATGAAGATTGGCAAGGGAAACCGAAGTTCTCGGAGGAAACCTGCCCAAGTACCAATTTGTCCACCACAAATCCCACATGACCTGACCCCGCTTGAGCTATGGCACGGCCCACATAAAACGAAAGTAAATAATCTGTTACAGGAATAGATCTTCTGGTTGATCAAAAGTAGTGTAGGCCGTTTGTCAGCACGAATATGATTTGTTTCCTTCAGTACATTAAATAACATTTTGTCTTGATATGCATAATACTTTAATTATATTTCATATTAAAGCGGGATACATGCAGAGTGTCCCAGGAGGAGAGGTCAGTATTCTGGGAGGTCACAGTATCGGTCATTCTAAGCAAAAAAAAGTGTATATGTACATGTGTCCTATTCCGAACGGTTCCCGAGATAGAGCTATTTCACTGTACAATTCCGAAAACGTTGCTAAGAAAGAGATATTACGTACTGTTTCTAATGCCCGTATTTATTGTTAAAATGACAAAGTTGGTACAGTTTACCTGGTATTATATATATTTTTTTAAAAATTCCACCGTCAACATCAATGCACCTTGCAACTCATGTGAGGACATGACATGTTGTTCGCCTGTGCAGAGTACAGTGAAATAGCTCTATCTCGGAAACCGTTCGGAATAGGACTTATTTACTGACAGAGCTGAGCCCTTCTTGAGAAGCCGCCAATTGTGCAGCTACTCAAGAATTTCCCAACATTTTATAGAACCCGAAGGTTCATTACCGTGTTCACAAGAGCCCTCCACTGGTCCCTATCCTGAGCCAGATCACATGAACATATATACATTTTTTTGCTTAGAATGACCGATACTGTGACATCCAAAAATGCTGACCTTTCCTCCTGGGACACCCTGTATAACCATTGTGGCTAAAATGGTTAAAGGATAGTGAATGGACGTTTCGTGCTCTCAGCAGCTCTATTCCTAGCAAAGCCATTTCAAGAATCCGGGCTGCAGATAACTATACTGCATGTGATAACATTGCGATCATAACCTCACTGTTTCTCCCACTTCTTGGTAACGGCTGAGCAGGGAAATTCTCTTTTAGGAATTGGCAGATAGTCTAGCTGGGAGTCCAGGGAAGTTACACCCGATCAAATGTGACATCTCAAAGGAGGAAGATATTCTTCACGCCTTTTCGGAAGTGAAGGAAAAACTGGGAGGCGTGGATATTCTCGTAAACAACGCGGGGGTGGTACACGAGACGCTGCTATCAGGTATTTCCCCCCACCCGATTTGGAAGCTTCAAAATGGCATACGATAATTAAATGTGAAAGTTTCTTAGCAACCTTCATTGAAAAACATTTCGTTTTACTCGATATGATTGTCGAAATACGTGTAATATTCTGTGAAGAGTAAAAAATTGTTCCTTGTTTCTTACACTTTCACTTTCGACACAACATGACAAGTGAAGACAACGACACACGCTACTAGAGGGGACAACGCACAGGCAAGGGGCAAAATTACAGAGTGCACACGTAACACAACAACGGGCTTAGGAATAGAAGAACAGGCTGCTGCAATAAAACATCTGAAGTAAAGGATACAGATCAATATCAACATGAATTTTACAAAATTTAAAGGGAATTTTAATACATTTTACTTTTTTAAAATTAAGTGTTGCTACATTAGCGCATGCCAGTTAGACTACGATTATGGAGTTTTAAACCATGAAGAGTGCAGTTGCATATGCGACGAATGGACAATATTAGTGCAGTATAGCAGTTTTAGCATAGTAAGACACCTGAAGATGGCCATTTAGGGCCGAAACATGTTGTGCGAAAGTGTAAGAAAGAGGGAACAGTTTGTTGCATTTTTGACAGACTGTATAGTACAATAAACAGTTTTAGATATAGTAATGCAACTTACTTACTTACTTACTTACTTACTTACTTACTAATGGAGCTCAGCGCTTTTTGAGGAGCCGCCAATTCTGCAGCTAATCAAGAATTTCCCAGCATTTTATGAAACCCGAGAGTTCATTACCGTGTTCACAAGAGCCCTCCACTGGTCCCTATCCTGAGCAAGATCAATCCAATCCATCCCATCCCATCCTATCTCTCTAAGGTCCATTTCAATATTGTCCACCCACCTACGCCTTGGTCTTCCGAGTGGTCTCTTTCCTTCTGGCTTTCCCACTAATATTCTATATGCAAGCCTCGTCGCCCCCATTCGTGCTACATGCCCTACCAACCTCACCCTCCTTGACTTGATCATCAACAGGATGCTTAAATACAGAAGTAAAAAGTAAGTAAAGCTATCCCTGTAACAGACCGTGAAGGCCCATAGGGTTGTGAGACGTTAAGGGTCCCACATTATCTAGACAATCGACTCAAAGATGGCGGTAAGGCTGTCAGCCTTACGCGCCAGCCGCGCTTTACTCCCCAGGAAAATTATTTAATTAATTCCTGGTACTCATTTCTGTTAGAGGCTGTGTAAACCCCAGGGCCTAGTGCGGTGTATAAGTATTTATTCGTGTCGATGCTTGACACTTCTAGATGGCAGCACCGACGATTGGTTCAATATGTTCCATGTGAACGTGCTCGGTTTGTCCATCTGCACACGCGAGGCGCTGAAGAGCATGAGGGAACGGAGCAACGGCGGCGGACACGTGGTACACATCAACAGGTACGCAGCGCCGGAGTACAGAGGCTCGACCCGTTTTTACTCACCCTTGACACTTTTGTGCCGGGATAATTGTACCGAGATATCTTTATTCCAGGTCCTTGCTTAACCTCAATTCAACGCGAAGAATACTCTTTTCTGGGGTACGACGCCATGTAGCCTGCCAGAAGCTTACGGCGGAACGTATTGTCACGTGTAAGGGTGTGTCTTATAAGACTGGTTCTGGATTGGATGACCTGATTTGTGGCACCACCTTGTGCAATCACTCGTAATCACAATAGATTACAATAACTCGCAATAAATCTCCAACCGAACACTTCTTCCTTGACTGCTGAGGACTCACTCAGTTCTGATCTGGATTCCCTGCATTCTGATTGGTGCCCTCTCTATACCGATCTGATCTATGACTCCCATTTTAACTCAGTTCTTGATAATTCACCATTTGTACACTGTCATCTTCTTCCGGCTTGACACTCCACTGGAATTACTGGAGCCAGAGTCACTCACTGTTATATAGCCTCGGGTCGAACCTCACGGAAAACACGTCCATTGCACAGCAATGGAGGCTTTACCTATCAAATGGCTGTTTCCAAGTATCCATATCCACGGAAACGTGTTTACGACCCGTTCCCAACAATGGGTCTACACGTCACAGTATTGCCCCCATCTTCAGGGTCAAAGAGTAAACCTATCAAGCAACCAGCAAGACACAAGCTGCTAGGAGAACTAACCCCTTCCTGCCATGCATAACATCCCAGAAGATAACACAGCTCAAAATTTTGAAGTCCTATGGGCTCTTTTATATAAAAACAATCTTAATGAGCCGGGTAGCTTAATCGGTACAGCGGGGGCTTACTGGCTGGAAGGCCACGGTTCGATTCTAGGAGGAGCAAGAAATTTTTATGTTCTCGATAGCAACGAGACTGGTTCTGGTGTCCGTCCAGCCTCCTCTCCAATGGGTACCGATGACTGTTCCCCCGGGATTAAAGCATCCTGGGAGTAAAGCTCAGTACCAACTTCCGGCCAGTGCCGAAGCCTGCAGTGGTGGATCTGTACTCCGCTCCCCAATATCTCTTTATGTCATGGTGCATAATTATATTACATTTAAGCATTCTGTTACATTCCACACTTCTATATGTATAATATAAACTCCGTCGTAAATGTAACATTTTATTGTAGTTCTTGTCCCCCTTCTTTCACACTACATGTTTCGGCCGCAAGCGGCCATCATCAGGTGTATTTCTCTTCACGTAGCTGTCACACTGCACTCAATATTAACATTTAAATTCCAGATTTCCAATTGTTCATTTTCTGTCGTCAATCGGCACCGATATTCCAGAAATTCCCTTGTCGATTTTGTCAGTTGTGTTTAAAATCTTTATTAATATTCACACATCGATTGGTTTAAATTTTTAATTCTCAATTTAGGTTTAATATTTAACACACAGAACCTGCACAAAGTAAATACACATAACAGTATAAATATGTAGGAATAACGTAAGANTGAAATACACCTGATGATGGCCGATTGCGGCCGAAACATGTAGTGTAAAAGAAGGGGGACAAGACCTACAATAAAGTGTTACATTTACGGAGTTTATATTATACATGTAGAAGTGCATAATTAATTGAGGAAAGGCCTAACTTTTCCTTTGCCATAACAGTTCTGAATAATCACGGCACTTCAATGATAATTTTTCAGCATTGCAGGACATTACGACGTGTCGGCTCCGGGTTTCCATATGTATTCTGCAACTAAGCACGCCGTCACAGCCTTGACTGAGGGTCTGAGAAAGGAACTCGTGTCTCAGCACTCAAATATTCGCGTCACGGTAAGCACAGTTGCACCCTGGAACACGCCAAGCTAAGCGAAATACGGTACCTCTATAGGTCACGTTCACTGACAACAGTAGCACACATGGGACAGAAGAGGAATTGCTGCAGTTTTGGTGGGAAAGTCAGAAGGAAAGATACAACTAAATAGACGTAGAAATAGGTGGGAGGATAATATTAAAATGTATAGGATGGTGTGGACTGGAACCATGTGACTTAGGATAGGGACGAATATCGCACTCTTGTGGACACGGTAACGAATCTGAGGGCTGCGTAAATTTGTGGGAAGCTCTTGAATAGCTGGACGACTGTTGCGATCTGAAGGAGGAGACGGCACAGTTGAGTTCAATTAGCTATGGAATATCTAAACAAAGGGTATCCAAACTACGGCCCGCGATGTGATTTTATCCGGCCCGTGAAAGAATTGTGCAGAAATGCGCCAATTTAACTAATTTTCCAATGAGTACTGGTAAAAAGAATACTTGTTCTTAGATTTCAAATTCATTAATTAAGATTGTGTTTAAAATATATTGATATTCCATATTATGTTAATATTAATATTATTCACAATTTTACTAATTCTGGACCGTATACTGCGCGGTACTTCTTCGTCCTTGTTCGGCCTCGATCGGCAGTGTCACTTCGTGGCAATGTAGGTAGCGCGAGCAGTTCGTTACTAGCCGTCTTGTGCACAGGACTTCTTGCAGTGGTGCAGTGTAATTGTAACAGATCATCATCACCTCAATTTAATCAGATTTTAAGAATGCAAAAAGAGTTCCAACATTCACATTAATTGTTTTATTACAATTTGTGATGAAAATATGAGCATTTGCTGCTACTGCCTGTTGTCATTAATATACGATAATTTATTCTCACGTACTTTGTATTTAGTTTATGAAATTCTGTGCTTTCAATAAAACCCATATACCTAGAGTTATTAATTTCTCATTTTATCCGGCCCGTTGAAAGTGCTAATTACCTAATGTGGTCCGCGTTTCGAAAAGTTTGGAGACCCCTGATCTAAACGGTCAAAAGTAGCTGAACTAGCTGAATACGAAAGTTTGACTCAGCTAACACCAAAGCCTGCCACTGGATACGATCTTGAAACACTTGTAGCAGTTAGCTTCCGTAGGCAGACTTTGTCGCCACGGATGGGTAAAGGTGGCCGTTGCTGTCACTATGCATAACGTCATATAGTAACAGGCGTTTTTCATTGGTCATACATTGGGAAGTACCTCTGTGAAGTCCCTGGCTATATATTCTTGGGGCTTGCATCACGCATTACATACACAAAGGGGAGTCCCCGGACTACAAATTTACGTATGACATCACTCCACATTGCATCAACTGCTACTTACTGTATGCCATGTAGCGTAATATATCGTGTGATGATTTACGCAGTTCCCTCAAATTCATATTTTGGGTTTTGTAAATTACAATGGTTACATAAAAATATAAATGTATATATACAAATTGGGCGAAGTATATTACTACAAAGGAGTAATCGGTCACACACTTTCATCAACCTACCGTCATGGGCTGCGCGGAAATATGTGAGGTGCCATGACTGTCTTTCCCTCCCGGATTTTTGGAACAAAATTTAAATTTAGAAAATAAGGAAATATACCAAATTTAATATAAAAAATATTTTTCTTAACGTATTTTCCTCTCCCGAATAATCTTGGATGATCAGTAAAAATAATATTGAATGGTTTAGACGTAAGTTTGTCTACCCCCCTTTAGAAAACTTACTTCCATTTGGAAAGAAATCCTAGGGGCGCCCATGCCTTCCTCCATCAATCCATCTTAATATCATCATCCTCTTGTTCTTCCAGTTGTTCGCTTTCCAAAACGACCCCATCAGACGAATACGTATCTTTTGCCCCTTCACTCCTTGTCATTTGCCCAGCCCACAGTCGCCTCCTGAAAGTCGCCGTCCTAACAAAATTAGATGGTTTGACACGTATAAATTTCAATTAATTCAAATTACTTCTTAATGTGAATTCTAAATTTGTGCTTTCTCGAATACTTCGTTTTGAAACAATCTGTGTCTTCAAATGTTCTTCCACAAAAAAAAAAGAGAGAGAGAGAAAATGCTCTCCTACAATGTAACCTGAAAAAAAATGTTATTTACGAGTAGTACAGCCTACATCCGGTAGAGGCCTTGCGACGAGCTGATCACCCGCCCAAGGAGCCCTACCGAATGTGTAAGATCTAGAAAAACCGAAGTGAACGGAGAAGTTCATGGAGGTAGGCCTAGGCCGACTGGGGCTGTAGTGCCAAGGAAACAAGCAAGCAAACAAACAAACAAACAAACAAGCAAACGAACAAACAGCCTATATCCTAGGGAAGGAAAAAGGCGTAGGCGAAATAGGCCATGGCCTAAAAACACGTGGTTTGTGGGGTCCCGCGAGAGGCTGTCACACAACTTGTCTTGCATGAGAGGGTAAAGGACACATGAGACTTCGAGGTGCAACAAAAAAAAAGCATTTCCGCTTCCCGCCTTCACTGGTTTTAAAAACAATAAACCTTCTAACACACAATCAAGACACACCATACTTTTCAATTACCTGGGGCCTCGCACTTAACACTGGCCTAGGGCCCCGCAAACTCTTAAACCTCCCTTGTCTATACGTTCAGCATTTCAAAAGTAGGCGATATATATATTTTAGGCATTCTTTACGAAGTAAAGAAGAACGCTTTTTATACGGAAGGTATGTTTATCCGTAGTCGGCTGAGTTAGTAATAGTGCCCAAACGACAGGGAAATTTTATTTAAAATTTCATATGAAAAATTTTCAATAAAATTTGTTGGACAACTCAGATCTTTATCAATATTGAGCTATAATTAAATACACTTTACTTGGAACAGTAAATAGATTTATTTCCATGGATGTTATAAACCGTTAATTAATTTTTGGTGTAAAATTCAATATGAGATATCTTTGCGTAATTGCAGTCTCCCATCTTGATTTGCATCCATATTGGCTGATTACAGAGCCCTCTTTACACAAGACCATAAAGTGACCTTTCAATACATGCATAAACCGATTCACAGATTATGTTGAAATTCGATATGGGAAACATCAACCAAAAGAATGCCGTTTCTTAATTTCACGTACTAAATTAAGATGCGCAATCCTTTCACTCATGTAATAAAATAATTGTGTAGAGCTATTAAATCGTGTGTAAAGAAAATATGGTTTGTGTTCTATGCTCCGAAACGTCGAGAATCTAGTCCAATATATTAGAGTGTCATCGTCAAAGAACGGAAAGAAATTAGTTCAAAACCGAGGTGAAAGCTTAAAACTGTCTTTAACCCAATTGAGTAAATGAAGAATTGTCTTGGGCACGAATTCATAGTTCGTCGAACTGTGAAAAATATTTTTTGTGCTTATGGTTTCTCTTATTTTCAGAGTATCAGCCCAGGCTTAGTAGATACGGAGCTGTTACGCCATGGGTCTAACAAGACATTAAACCCAGAAGAAATATACACCAGAATACCGTGTTTGAAACCCAGTGATATTGCAGACGCTGTGCTGTATGTTCTGGGTACTCCACCTCATGTTCAGGTACAGTCATCATCAGTTATCATATTGTGTGATAAATGGGAAAAATTTGCAATCGAAACTTTTTGTTTTTGTTCGGTACACCGTGATTAATTAGTACTATCCTTTTGGTAGCCTCGCAGAATTCCTCCAGATTGTGTTAAGATATTGTAGCATGTAGACCCGTTGCTAAGCAGTGACTCTACAAAGAACGCCCGCTGCTAGGCAGCGACTGCGAGGTAAGGAAATATACGAGAGCCGTCACTGAGTAAAGGCTTCGCAAGCAAACATGTTCCCAAGGCAAGAGATAAACTACAACAATGATGAATGGTGTTTTCTGTGCGGTCCGTACCGAGATATTATAAGCGGGGCAAGTTGGAAGATGGAGTTAGTTGAGTTCAGTCAATCAGAAGAGTAGGAGGTTGGTGTGAGATGGCCACCAGCTTGGGAGTCAGTTGTGAAACATACCCCAGCCTGTAAGAATGTAAGCAAAGGACATATTTAGGATCCGTTACCAGGAAACGTCTAGTGAGCTGCCAGATCATCAAGACAGTGGTTATATATGCAGAACATCCTCGATGATTTAGAATATGCTTAACAGCTCTTGCTACATTGGATGACTTAATATATGATGTAGACTTCTTCTAGAGTCCTAGCAGATTTCGTTCCTGTACCTTTCCTCTTCGAAATTTTGAAGTGTGTAATTCATCTATTTTGCATGTAGTTAGGGCTGTCAGACCGCTACATTGAATATGTCGGGCATAAATTGGTCCCAAAATAGAGATAAGATATTTTGTGGTGTTTGCAGGTAGTACTCTAATTTACTTGAACAGCAAAACACAATTCAGCCTCCTGATCTCAGGAATATAACTCACAATGTCCTGCATACGAAATAATAAGGATATCAGACCTTAAGTTTTTATGGCAAATAAATGCACAGAAATTTTTCCCTGGATCACATGAATATTAACCCCAATGTTGGAGACAGAACTTGTCTCCAGTATGGCTTTCTGCTCAATATTGACGTTCCATCTTGCCTGAGAGATTATTAATGTTAGTAGCAGTGATATTTATTGGGCAGCGTTTATATTATAACCATTAACAAAATGTGCAAATGATTTATCATAATTCAAGTGTACACAGGTGATAGAAGCGATATTTTTCAGTATGTACGAAATTTGCACATTCTTTAATGTAATTAACTGATTTTAATTACTGTCAATTTCTTGATTTCAGATTCATGAGCTGACTATAAAACCTGTTGGGGAAATAAATCTCTGAAAACAATTCAGCATCTTTGGAATGTGTGTATTATAAGTAACCAAATAATGCAAGAAGTGAAAACGCAATTAGTTTCTCTGTAAACTAGCAGTGTTCAATAATATTTTCTTTCTTAAATTCTCCATGGATTAAGTAATGAAATATCTGCCAGGCTCGTCTTAATAGTAGGTGAGAACAAACTGGCTTTGATAATGAAATATTAACAATCCTGTTGCATTGTTTTGCAAATATTTATGTTACATAATTAGGTCTATAAAATGAGAAACCAGTGTAAAATAATTCTATAATAAAACCATATCAGTTCATCTGGGATTGCCACCAAACTCTCATGGAACTTGAATTGAATTGAATTGAATTTATTTACATTCTATAAATCCTAAGCAGGTTAGTACCTTTGGATACAGAACAAGTCAAAATGTTACATACATAAGTACAGGCAATTTTAGCTTAAAAATTAATATAACTTAATTTTACATCATTCTCTATTTACATTGAAGTATTCATCTAAAGAGTAGAAGGAATGAGCATGTAGATAATTCTTTAACTCTGATTTAAACTTTTTAGTATCATTGCCCAAGTTTTTAATACTTTGTGGCAGATTGTTGAACACTTTTATGCCAGTAAAGTAGACTCCTTTTTGATATACTGATAAAGTTGATGAGGGTAGGTGGAAGTTATATTTTTGTCTAGTATTCATGTTATAGACATCAGAATTTAATTTGAATTTATCTTTGTTGTAAACAACAAATAGGAGAAGCGATAATAT